GCCTGCAACACGTTCCAAAAAAGCTGGGACAGGTGCGTGTTTACCGCTGTGTTATATCACCTTTCCTTTTAACAACACTCAATAAGCATTTGGGAACTGAGGACACTAATTGTTGAAGCTTTGTAGGTGGAATTCTTTCCCATTCTTGCTTGATGTACAACTTCAGTTGCTCAACAGTCCGGGGTCTCCGCTGTCGTATTTTGCGCTTCATAACGTGCCACACATTTTCAATGGGAGACAGATCTGGACTGCAGGCAGGCCAGTCTAGAACCCGCACTATTTTACTACGAAGCCACGCTGTTGTAACACGTGCAGAATGTGGCTTGGTATTGTCTTGCTGAAATAAATAGGGACGTCCCTGAAAAAGACGTTGCTTGGATGGCAGCATATGTTGCTCCAAAACCTGTACGTACCTTTCAGCATTAATGGTGCCTTCACAGATGTGCAAGTTCCCCCTGCCATGGGCACTAACACCCCTGTATCATCACAGACGCTGGCTTTAAACTTTGCGCTGATAACAATCCAGATGGTCCTTTTCCTCTTTGACCCGGAGGACACGATATCCATAATTTCCAAAAACAATTTGACATGTGGACTCGTCAGACCACAGCACACTTTTCCACTTTGCGTCAGTCCATCTCAGATGAGCTCGGGCCCAGAGAAGCCGGCGGCGTTTCTGGGTGTTGTGGATATGTGGCTTTCGCTTTGCATGTAGAGCTTTAACTTGCACTTGTTGATGTAGCGACGAACTGTGTTAAGTGACAATGGTTTCCTGAAGTGTTCCTGAGCACATGTGGTAATATCCTTTACACAATTGATGTCGGTTTTTAATGCAGTGCCGCCTGAGGGGTCAAAGGTCACGGGCATTCAATGTTGGTATTCGGCATTACCGCTTACGTGCAGAGATTTCTACAGATTCTCTGAATCTTTTGATGATATTATGGACCATAGATGATGAAATTCCTAAATGCCTTGCAATTGTACATTGACAAACGTTGTTCTTAAACTGTTGGGCTGCGAACGCAGTTGTTCACAAAGTGGTGAAGCTCGCTCCGTCCTTGCTTGTGAATGACTGAGCCTTTCAGGGATGCTCCTTTTATACCCAATCATGACACTCACCTGTTTCCAATTAACCTGTTCACCTGTGGAATGTTCCAAACAGGTGTTTTTTGAGCATTCTTCAACTTTCCCAGTCTTTTGTTGCTCCTGTCTCAGATTTTTTGGAACGTGTTGCAGGCATCAAATTCAAAGTGAGTGAATATTTGCCAAAAACAATAGTCTGAACATTAAATATCTTGTCTTTGTAGTGTATTCAATTGAATATAGGTTGAAAAGGATTCGCAAATGCACGTATTCGATTTTTATTTATGTTTTACACAACGTCCCAACTTCATTGGAATTGGGGTTTTATATGGAGTGTTGTGTTTGTGTGTTTTCCCTCTCTGCCACCAGCAGGACCTTGCCCCGCCCCCAATGCTGCAACCAGCAACCCGAGGAGTGCGGCTGATTCCAATCTCCTAATCAGTGGAGAGTATAAGGGCTGGTGAAGGAAGCTGCTGTGGGTGAGAGTATGGTGGTCTAAAACAAAAGACAGTGTTACTGAATGTTTGTAGGCCTTGGGTGAGTGTATGGCAGTTGGCAGAGACAGTAACTGGCAGTAGCAACAGTGGGAGTCCTGCAGTTAAATGTAGTGATTTACTGTTTGTGTTTGCACCGTGCGCTAGTTTGCCTTTAACCGATACCTTACTTACCTTTAAAAAGGACCCTTGTTGCTCGCTTCCCTTTTGGGAGTTTTCTGTTTATTGAGAGTTAAGAGACACTTTGTTAATATTGTAAATAAATGGCCTTTGCTTTGTAAACATACTGCTGTTTCCTCGTTTTCTTCTGCCCTGGAACAATTACTAATTGTACTAACCTCCTCCCCCTGGGCTTCAATCTGAGGTTCGTAAGGAAGTGCAGCACGGTGCACACAACAGAGACGTGTTCTCCCTGTTCGCCACAGACAGCTGTTGAATGAATGACTGCCTCTACTAAACTTTCACATAATCTATAAAACTGATGCGTAACTAACGTTCATGATTTTCACCTGCACACTGTGCAGCACGGTAGCACTTAACCAGCCTCCTCCTCATTCTTCAAAGCTATGTGACAGGCGGCTAAAGTTACGGTGAAAGCGAGCAGAGGAAAGTGTGAGTGCTACGTTTCAGTCTGGTAGTTAATGTACAGTGCAGGTCACAGTGTGACTAAGATAAGATGCTCTTTTTATCCCCCGATCATGTTACTAACCTGTTGCCAGTTAACCTAATTAATTGTGATTAAGATGTTTCACCAGGTTGTGTGTTTTGTTTAGGTTTTTTTGTATTTTACAGCTTTTCCAGTCTTTTGTTGCCACTGTGCCATCTTTTTTGGAACATGTTGTTGAAAGTTGTCTATGTACTATATTTAATATGGGATACAACTTTTTGCAAATGATCACATTTTTTTTTATCTATTTACATTTAGGTAGGAAGGTTTATTGTCACTATGTTATACAGTGAAATTGAGTTTTGTAACTCCCTTCTGCTACATAGCAGATAATTTACATTAATACCAAATCAATTAGGAAAAATGATAAACAGAAATAACTATAATCAATGGAGCAGCACGAGGATGTAGCTGAGGATGAATTAAAGTTTAAGAGTCTGAGACACACATTGTTTCCTATGTTCCAGTGTTTTTGGAAACTGGGCTGTATTTCCTGACTGTCTGATTTCATAAAATCTCAAAATATTTACCCTGTCAGAAACATGTGATGTGCAGTGTAATGAGTCTTTCTGAATGTATTCAAAACCTATGTACTGTGTGTAAACTAGGTCGGTTGCACTGCCATATAGGAAACTCTAGATCTCTTTACATAAAAGATATGGCACAGTGCTCTGATAACAGAAATCTCACAGAAGTCCACTGTATCAAAATATGACTTTGACTTGTAATGGTGAATTTTTACATTGGTACTTTTACTTAAGTAAAGGATTCAGTCACTTTTTCAGAAAGTCCTATTTAATGGCTATTTTTTTCTTTTTTAGAAAAGATCTGAGCCTTCTACAAAACCCTGCTGAGAAACATTCTTGAAGTGATGGATGCACATGGAATGCAATAAAACTAATAAGACAATGGGCCTTTATTGTGTTGACATTGATTCCTGGTTCATCTTGTTCCAAATCAAGTTCACTTGTTCACAGAAAGCCTGAGCCTGTTTTACCAGTTTATTTCTCATTATTTGAAATGTGGGCAGGGTTTTTCCCCGCAGGAAATAAAGCAGATTAAATTGGCTCCACCTTGTCCAGCTACAACTAGAGTTGGGCAATCTCTTTTTTTTTCGTATCGTCCAGTTATGGCTACTCAAGATCACCAATAGGCGATCCGATTCCCAGGGGGCTGTGTTTCGTAGTAACATGCCAGTGAAATGCCAGCATGGAAGATTTAGGCTTAATTTAAAAAAAAAATGTGACATCACGTATTTGGGCCTATTCTTATCTTTAATATCCCAATGCAAATCACATCTATAATTTAACTACTATGTGGGGTATCAGATCCACAGAAAGACTGGTCTGTAATGAAGGATTTATTTACTGTGCAACTGTGGCTCCACACACGACAATTTGGGGAATGTTGTTCATGATGCTAACCGTTCAACTCTGGATTGATTCAGAAATCTTCTCTGTGCAGAGAAGCCGACAACAATCCTTCCTCCAGCCCACGATCATGTTTTGATTTGATTGTGCACGAAAAGGGGGGGTTATTCACAGACGGGTCCGTTGTCAATGTGTTTGTGAGAGAGAGCGAGTGAGAGGAGGGGCTGAGCGAATCTATGAGCTGCGCACAGCAAATATGATTTTACCCATTTTAAATAGTATTCAAAATCCCTATTTTTATACTGCTATTACTATTTCTACTAATAAAAAGAGAACAGTTCTCCTTCCACTGTTGCTGTTAGAGCATTGCCAGCCATTACAAGGTCTAGGCTGAAAACCTAATGCCCCCCCTAAGCCCTGAACCCTCACAGACTTTACTGATGTCACTTGGAAAGTGATCGAGTTTAAGAGGCTACAAGGGCTGAAAATGCTGGAAACAGGAACGGGACAGCACTTTGCCACATTATCACGTTACCTTGACAACGCTGAAACACGTTGCACACTTTTTATTTTATGTTTTTGCCTGATTTTTAAGTCCTGCAGGCTCTCGCCCTGCAGAGTGGAGGAGAGGTAGTCTAAATGTCAATATATATTTGTCAACAATCAATACACTATTGTTGGTGAAACAGCATCAATAAACTTAGTGTGTAATGAGGTGATTGCATTCCTCTGACTTCATGTGTTCTATGCACCATCTTAAGAAAACTTTTAACAATTCTGACATCAGTGTAGATGTTGATTCTTGTTTGTTTACTGTTTTCTTCTCTTATAACATGGATTTGCCGTGATATTTCTCTTGTTTCTGGGCTTTCCGTGGAAACCGCCGTGTTTCACGTCATACCGCTATGAACTATGGGCAATTCCCTCAGCCAAAGTCTGCAAAAATGCGGACTTACGAAAAGGGTCTAAAAAGGGCTCAAAATATCCGCGAGAGAGCCCATGCGCACTTGACGATTCGACAGTGGGACAGCCCTGAGCCCTCAAACTTCCCCAGGACGCACCTCTAAGTCTGTGAGGGTGGACATTGGGATTGGGCCAGTGTCATTGTTTTGAGGGCACAGTTGTAAACCACTGTGTGATGCCAGAACTGATCTTTTCTTTTATTCAACTTGTTTTACTTTGATTGTTGAAAAGCACTTTACAAATAAATCTATAATTGTTATTGAGACAAAAAGGTTTAATCTGTAACAATGCATTGTATTTTTTAAGGTTTATCATGTTTGTTTTTAATGTAAAATCTTAATCTAAAACATTACTAGTTACTACAGGTGGTGAAAAGTACTCCAATATTATACTTAAGAACAGTACTTGAGTAAATGTACTTACCTTAGATGCGTGTCATGTTTTTGTGAAACAGGTGATGTTGGGTGTGTCACTGGACAGGTGGGCCTGTGTTGGAGGTAGACAGCGAGGGAGGAAGAGAGGGGGGGAATGGGAGAAGAAGAGTATAAATGCTGGTGCATTTCTGATGATTGCAGCTGAAGAATCTGACCTCAGCGATGGCTTTCTACAAAGTGATCTGTGTGGCGACTCTGCTGACTCTCCTGACACAAGGTAAGAACCCTCCTCACTGATTTAGTAGAACATTATGACTTCTAATTTGAATTACATGTATTCTTTTTAATGGTATATGAAAAACACTGCAATAACCTCTGAACTTCATGCACAGCCTATTTTTTCAATTCATGTTTCTGTATTTATCGCAAGACTTTGTTTAATGTGATTCTAATTTCCCCACAATAGCATTTATGAAGCTACAGTATATCTATGCATGTAATTTGTGCCTCTGATTGACAAGATGAAAAAGACACAAAATCTTCCACTTGCAGAATCTTCTTAAATAAATATTAAAATGTTTTAAGTTGATCCAGATTTGAGGTCTTTCATTAAGTGGTAAGCCCCATGTGCATGTAATAAGACCCACTGAAGTCTATAGATAACCCCTGATTGGTGTGAATGCTCGAATAATGTTCTTCTACACAAGCCTAAACCAAATCCCTTGAAAAAGCACATTCAGTCACCTGTTTGAATTGTATCCGATGAGCCTAGTGTTGAGCAAAATCTTCAACGATGTCCTTAGAAGAAAATCCAAAAGAATCTAATTTGGGAGCTTTGCTACCCTCTTTTCCTGTTCCTTTCTCAACTGTCTCCTCTTGCAACAACTTTTATGTTTGAATGGCATGACTAGCTTGCAGGTGTGCTCTGCTGATCTGCTTGTCAGATTTTGCACTTCACCCATAGACTGTATTAAAAAAGTCTTGTCTTCTTGTCACATGATCAGATAGAAATTTAAGATTGGGAAACAATCCAATATGCACATATTACCTAGCAACCGTCATTGCATACATAGGCCATGTGAATAAGGCAATATTCATTCTGTACAATCTGTGGAATATATTTATATTATCCTTTGCTTGCTACAGGATACAGATATCCTCAGGGCTTGACATTAACACTTGACATTAACACTTTGGCATGTTGAAAAACACTGAAATAACAAATGAATTGCAATGTGACACTACGACACTACAACTCCCATGAGTACTACCTGCACATCGTGTTTGCTCATTGGTCCATTAGTGAAGCATAAAGTCTTGAGCGCTACTGACACCGTAAACAAGAACACGCTGTGGAAATTAAACCCGGGACTGGGCGTCGGACCGAGGGCTGTATGGCCTGCCGTTAATTATAAATTTAACCAGCGGCAGCGATGACAAAGCAAGCTTTTTTAATATCACGAGAATCCACACAACATGCGCGTCTCACCTCTCTCCCAAGGGTGCATACTCCAAATATGACATCCAGACTTTTCTCTAAGTGAATATAAAAGTTGAATCTGTCCCGGGGCAGCCACAATCCCTCAGACCTGTGGACCGTCAGCCTCCTGATGATCTCCGTCACCCCACGCGACTGGTCGCATGCACACACACATCAACACAGCGGTCAGTCAGTGCGTAATTGTGCGTGGCCGAGCAGTGTGGAGAAGAAATGCACAGCAGAACGAGAGAAAGAGAAAAGGCAGAGCTGAGATAAAGAAAAGGCAGGAGGAAAGTGCCCTTAAATGCTGTGAAATTACAGATATATTCGTGATTAAGGGAGGAGGTGTTAGCCTAGCAGAGTTGCCTTTATATCACATTAAATCGTCTTGTCACAACTACATTTCCAGAGTTGATTATTAAAATACAGAAGGATATGTTTTAATAAAAGTTGTCATGCCGTAGGAAAGCAGAAGATGCTTCTGTATGGGAATAATCTGGGAAAAAAACACCTGTATACTACTTGTTTTGTATCTCTAGTTAATGATAAACATAAATCCAGTCAGAGCTCTGAGGAAATGATACTGGTGAATTTTTTTTTTCAGTTTAGTTTTTATCTTTTTAATTAAACTTTTACACACATGCAGCATTTTTATAATATAAAATAAGAAGCTACTATCTTAATGTGTTTATCTTAATAGACTGAATGTTTTCAAAAAAGGAACTTTACACACAACCTTAGAGCTAATGATAGTATTAGTGCATTTTAGCACATCATTGTCAACTTTAATCGTATAAAACGCAATTTCCCTAAAATAAATTTGGCTGGTGAAAATGCTGTGTGGCTGGTAACGTAGGAAAATCATTAGCCACATTGGCTAGTGAGCAAAAAAGTTAATGTCAAGCCCTGGATATCCTATCACTTCAGCATTATTTATGTATAAAGTGACATGGGAATCTGATGTTTGATGAATTAATGTTTTGAATGTATCCTGGAATGTAGCTCAACAACAACAATAAAAATGTTTTCCCCTATTAGGCTAATAATAATTGTGACGCAGCCTGTCTAACGGAGGCTACTGACCATGATTGCTACATTTTGGTTGAAGATCACTTAAACTGAAAAAACTGCTGAAGCATAGGAACTATTAAAGTGCATAGGTTTATAACTAAATTAAAATAAATGAATTTATCACTGAGGTGAACTTCATGGTGTTACTTCAGTCATGCCTACATGTGTGCTGATTCAGCAGGGATGAAATGAAATGAGAAGTTGATATACAGGAGAAACGTGTCTGCCAGCAATACAGAATGCCCGAGAGCTGCACTGCATCATATTACACTATATTGTTTATATTTTGAACCCGGATGTTGTTTTTCTCTTTATATAAATAAAATACATTTCCTCAATAAATTGGTGCAGAAAAAATCACCAGATTGCAGGGAATTAAGTGTTTAAAACTTTAAATTTTCAGGTGAAAACATGACAGATTTCTGGGCTAGGCAAAGACCCCATTGTTTCAAGAGCCTGACAAAGCCCCTGGCTGAAATGCATTTTTACCATGTAGCTGACGAACTTCAGCTCCTAACCTGGTGGGGGTACAGTGGGGGCCCCAGTGTGGCTGCAGTGTCTGCACTGTCTATACCTATGTCCCTGTTTCCAGGACATTTTTCATATTCAAATGAATGGACAGAATATTAAAAATGTTTAAACTGTTATCTAGTCATTCATACTTTGAGCTAGAAAAAATGTTCCACATCTTCAACTTTTTCAGGGACAGACTGTTCGCAGGAGGGCCAACTGACAGAGTTGGAATTCACTTCAAAATCTTCTTAGAAATTGTTCTTCAAGTAACTCTCCTTGTCATAATGTTTACTCTTCATACATCATGTTTACACCACAATGTAGGGGATGTTGTGCTGGTGCTGACATGTATTTATTTAAGCAAACAGACTCGCACAATTGGCGCCACAAACTTATTGTATCTAAACTGGTGTAACCGGCTGCTTCGAGTATGTACTAGTATGTATGTGAATAGCTTAGATAAACCGAAGGACCAAACAATTTTAACCTGTTTAAAGGATTATTTGAAGTTGCTGTACCAACACAGCGATGACATATTTGTTTGCAAAACTTTAGCTGAGGACAAGAAGAACATTTGTTCACTGAACAGTTAGTCATGCACGATCAGAATGAGCCCTCCTCCATGTTACAGCAAATCCTTATTTTACTGAATGTGGCAGAAATTGGGAAAAATTAAGACTTAACAAATGCAAAGTCAGTTTCTGTAACTGGAAAATTATTTTTCAGTCTGTTAGCTGAGAGAGAAAAAGGGCTGAAGGTTTGCCTGTTAAACAGTTTTGTGTTTGAACGAGTTTAGTAAGAAATGTTACAAATGATGACAAAATTCCTCGCATGTAAATACCACGTCAATATAACTAAGACATATCAGTAAATATATACACCATTACTTTATCTAAAATATTTTTTTTTGTTTTATGTTTTCAGAGTCTCACTCACAACTAAGTGGTAAGTCAAAGTTTCTACGGTCACTTTTTTACTTCCTGTCTGTCATTGGCACTGCCATTTTAAACATGTTTTTGAGACATAAATATGTTGTTAATAGCTTCATTATTGTTATTATTTTCCCACTTCATCTTTGCCTCTCTCCTCAGTGTGTGGTCAGCCTCCGCTCAACACCAGGATTGTTGGAGGACAGGTGGCCCCTGCAGGCAACTGGCCCTGGCAGGCCAGTCTGCAAAACTCTGGGACCCACTTCTGTGGAGGAACCCTCATTAACAATCAATGGGTGCTGACTGCTGCTCAGTGCTGTGCAAGGTAAGCAGTGAGGGTAGGGCTGCATCAAAAAACAACATGCCATGCAGTGGCATAAACAGCCTGTCTAAGGCCGTGGTTCCCAACTGACTGACCAAGGAGAAAATCTGTGTTTCAACCTGTGATGATGTGTAGCAGCAGACAATGCTTCACTTTAAGGGGTCACCAGCAAAAAAAGATCCTTTCTACAAATATAAGAGGCAGGAAAAAACATTAAAGAGGGGTAGCAAGAGTTTAGGATGCATTTAAGGTTTTATTTTTTACCTAAGTAGCTTGATCTGTAGGCAAGTTTGGCATCTGAAGCTTTTGTGGTTTCCGTACACCGATTCCTATTAACCAATCAGGTTTGAGCAGGTTTTGATTGAGGTTAACAGTCGGTGTGGAGAGCAAAAGACGTGGAACACAGTACCCCTAATGCAATCTCAGAACCCATGGCTATCATCTGACAGCAATTTAGCTTCTATTAGTTTTGTAGACTGGTTGCTGTGAAACAATCCGGTCATAGATGTCTCCAACTCCATTCGGACTGTAAAGGAGCGAGGAGCGATCTCTAAGGAGCTATGAGCGAAGATACACGAGTGCAGCCCTGGCGGAAGTCTTTTAGTGACCAACACACCCTTTTATTGGATAGCCGTTATTGATTGGACGCTGCAGCCGATCAGACTGATCTGATATATGGCAACACTGTTTCATACCGGAGTGAAGACAGATAGGCCTAATTAAACTCAAGTTTTATTTGTGATTTCTTTATGATTCGCCATCTTGTTAAAATCTGTGTTCACAGTCGGTCTGAACAACAAAAGCACCACAAACAACTTCCTTCATTTATTAGAAAGATATTTCTTTTTTTGTCATTTCACCCATTACCTTTTATTATGGAGACAATTAAAGTCAGAGAGAATCTGTCAGCAAGAAACACTTTCCACATCATTTATTGTCATTTCCATTCAGTTACTTGAGGCTGATCATTCCTGAGTGTTTAGTCCAAATATAGAGGACAATGCTTTGCAGTGATAACCGTGTGCCTTTATTAGTATCAGCTCAGTGCACATGTGGGCAGACCCAAATTCCATCAACAGTCATTCCAGCTGACAGCTTTGATCAGCTGATTTAGTTGTGATCAACTGCCATCATCAGAAACGCGCTTCACTTGACGCTTTGGAGGAAAGGACATCTCCTGACTCTAAAACCACATTTCTTCATTCCTTCTCACCTCGTATGATTTCCTTGAGTCTCTCCATGTGGGTGGGACTAAGATGCAAGAAAAAGACGCAAGTGAGGGAAACGTGGATTCAGTTAATAGAACTGGGATGCACCCATTGTCTGCTGCATGTAAAATAAAGTCTTGGCCCAGATATAAACTAGCCACACCAGGAGCCAGAACATTGTCTGTTGCTCCCAGAGGCTAAATCCTTGTCAGTTGATGGCCGATGGGTTCAGAGATTGCCAAGTCGTGTCCTTCAATGAATCGTGTCGTCCAGAGATATAGACATTTCGGTTCAGAGAAGTTCATTCTTAGTTTTCTGTTGGTCTACACATCAACAGATTCAAAGAACATTGACTACATTTGCGGACTGAATGATTAATTCAGTAATTATTAATAATAATTAATA